ATCTTTATCCATTTATCCATCGATGGACATTTGGGCTCTTTCCATTCTTTGACTATTGTCAATAGCACTGCTATAAACATTGGGGTGCATGTGCCTCTTTGAAACAGCACACTTGTATCCTTTAAATAAATATCTAGTAGTGCAATTGCTGGTTGTAGGGAAGTTCTATTTTTAATTTTTTGAGGAACCTCCATACTGTTTTCCAGAGTGGCTGCATGAGTTTCCATTCCCAGCAGCAATGGAAAAGGGTTCCTCTTTCTCTGCATCCTCACCAGCATCTTTCATTGCCCGAGCTATTAATTTTAGCCATTCTGATTAGTGTGAGGTGGTATCTCATCATGGTTTTGATTTGTATTTCTCTGATGAGGAGTGATATTGAGTATTTTTTCATGTGTCTGTTATCCATCTGGGTGTCTTCTTTAGAAAAGTGTCTATTCATGTCCTTTGCCCATTTCTTCACTGGATTATTTGTTTTTAGGCGTTGAGTTTGATAAATTCTTTATAGATTTTAGATACCAGCCCTTTATCTTATATGTCATTTGCAAATATATTTTCCCATTCCATTTGTTGCCTTTTAGTTTTGCTGATTGCTTCCTTTGCTGTGCAGAAGGTTTTTATCTTGATGAGGTCCCAATAGTTTATTTGTGCTTTTGTTTCCCTTGCCTCTGGAAATGTGTTGAGTAAGAAGTTGTTGTGGGTGAGGTCACAGAGCTTTTTGCCTGCTTTCTCCTCAAGGATTTTGATGACTTCCTGTATTATATTTATATCTTTCATCCATTTTGAGTTCACTTTTGGTGTATGGTGTAAGAAAGTGGTCCAGGTTCATTCTTCTGCATGTCACTCTCCAGTTTTCCCAATACCATTTACTGAAGAGACTGTCTTTATTCCATTGTGTATTCTTTCCTGTTTTGTCAAAGATTAGTTGGCCATACATTTGTGGGTCCATTTCTAGGTTCATCTAAGTGTCTGTTTTGTGCCAGTACCATACTGTCTTGATGATTACAGCTTTGTATTACATCTTGAAGTCCAGGATTGTGATGCCTCCAGCTTTGGTTTTCTTTTTCAGGATTGTTTTGGCTATTTGGGGTCTTTTCTGGTTCCGTACAAATTTTAGGATAGTTTGTTCTAGCTCTGTGAAGAATGCTGGTGTTATTTTTGATGGGGAATGCATTGAACATGTAGATTTCTTTTGGTAATATCAACATTTTAACAATATCTGTACTTCCTATCTATGAGCATGGAATATTTTTCCATTTTTTTTGTGTCTTCTTCAATTTCTTTCATCAGCTTTCTATAGTTTTCAGTGTATAGGTTTTTTCACCTCTTTGGTTAGATTTATTCCTAGGTATTTTATCGTTTTCGGTGCAATTGTAAATGGGATCGATTCCTTGATTTCTCTTCTGCTGCTTCATTATTGGTGTATAGGATTTCAACCAATTTCTGTGCATTGATTTTATATCATGAAATTTGCTGAATTCATGGATCAGTTCTAACAGTTTTTGGTGGAATCTTTTGGGTTTTCTGTACAGAGTATCATGTCATCTGAAAAGTGTGAAAGCTTGACTTCTTCCTTGCCAATTTGGAGGGCTTTTATTTCTGTGTGTTGCCTGAGTGCTGAGGCTAGGACTTCCAATACTATGTTGAATAACAGTGGTGATAGTGGACATCCCTGTCATGTTCCAGACATCCCTGTCAAGGTTTCAGTTTTTTCCCATTGAGGATGATATTAACATTGGGTCTTTCATATATGGCTTTTATGATCGATTAATCTACTATTTTTATTATGCTTGTATTTACCTGTGAAATTTTTTCCGTTCCCAATTTTCTTCCTCCTGATTATGGCCTTTCTATTACACTCAAAGAATTCTCTTTAAATTTTTTTTGTAAGGCTGGTTTAGTGGTAATAAATTCCTTTAACTTTTGTTTGTCTGGGAAACTATTTATCTCTCCTATTCTGAATGATAACTTTGCTGTATTCTTGGCTGCATGCTTTTTTTCTTTTTAGTGCTTTGAATATGTAATGCTAGTCACTTCTGTCCTGCAAATTTTTTTTTTTTTTTTTTTTTTTTTTTTTTTTTTTTTTTTTTTTTTTTGCTAAAGAATATAAGCTGATAGCTCAGTAGAGTTTCCTTTTTATGTATGTAACTGTTTTCTCTTGCTGCTTTTAAAGTTCTCTCTTGGAGCACCTGGGTGGCTCGGTTGGTTAAGCGTCCAACTTCGGCTCAGGACACGGTCTCATGGTTTGTGGGTTCGAGCCCTGTGTGGGGCTCTATGCTGACAGTTTAGAGCCTGGAGCCTGCTTCAGATTCAGTGTCTCTTTCTGCCTCTCCCTGACTTGCACTCTCTCTCTCTCTTTATCTCTCAAAAATAAATGGATATTTAAAAAGTTAAAAAAATAAACTTCTATCTTCATCACTACCTTTTGCCATTTTGATTACTGTATGTCTTCGTGTGGATCTCCTTCAGTTGATTTGTTGGCGGTCTCTCTGTGCCTCCTGGATCTGGATATTTGTTTTCTTTCCCAGATTAAGGAATTTTTCAACTATTGTTTCTTCAAGTAAATTATCTGCCCCTTTTTCTTTCTCTTCCCCTTTTGGTATCTCTATAATGCAAATGTTTTTCTTAATGTTCATTTATTTATTTTCAGAGAAAGAGACAGCATGTGAGTGGGGTCAGAGACAGAGAGAGAGAGAGGAGAGAGAATCTCAAGCAGGCCCCATTCTGTCAGTGCAGAGCCTGACATGGGGCATGATCTCATGTGAGATCATGACCTGAGCCAAAATCAATAGTTGTCCACTTAACTGACTAAGCCACCCAGGTGACCCATCTAAAATGCACATGTTATTACACTTGATGTCACCAAGTTCCTTTAACACATTTTCATTTATTATTTTTTTGTTCAGTTTGATTGCTTTCTATTACTGTCATCCTTCTTGCTGATCCATTCTTGTTCATTTTCTAGTCTATTATTTATTCCCTTTAGTATATTGTTAATTTATGTTATTCTTCATCTCTGATTGTTTATTTTGTTACATTTTCAATCTCTTTTGAATGTCTCACTGAGATCCTCCACTCCTTTCTCAAGTCCAGTGAGTATCTTTATCACCATTACTTTGAATTCTCTATCAGGTATATAGCTTATCTCTGATTCATTTTGCTTTTTGACTGTGTTTTTTTTTTTCCTTTTCTTTCATTTAGGACATATTCTTCTATCTAACTCTCTGTTTGTTTCTATGTATTTGGAAAGTCAGCCATTTCTCCTGATCTTGAAAATAGTGGTCTTAGGAAGAGGTCTTGCCGTGCCTTGTAGTGCCATGTACCCTTGTGCACCAGAACCAGGTGCTTCAGTGGTGTCTCTTATGTGTGTTGCATGTACCCTACTGTTTGGTTGAATTGTGTTTGTCTTCAGTCCAGTCAGCTGCAAAACCTCTTTGTTTTGCAAGAATGGCTCGATCCTTGTGCTTTTAATGGGTCAGGCTGGGACACTTTTGGGTTGTAGTTGGGTCAGACCAAAAGTATGCCCTCAGCCCACTTGCTGAGGTTTGGGTCACATTGAACTGCAGGGTGCTATTGCTGTGTTGTCTCCTGAGAGGCTTCTTTTGGTGGGCAGGTCTTGCCGTCAGACCACATGTCTGCCTACAGTACATCTGTGGAGTTTTCAGTGACTTTAAACTACAGGGCTTTATTTTATGCTTCTTTTTGTGAGGTTTTTGTTAGTGGGCAGGGCCTGAAGTCAGTTCAGTGATCTGCTTCTAGGCCACTAATGGGGATAAAGTTGAACTCATGTGTTTGTTTATCTTCCCGTTTTTTTTCAGGGCAAGCATCACTTTGGAGGGGTACTAGTCACTGTTGGGGTATATAGAATGAGAGCTGGTCAGAGCCACTTTGGAGGAACTCCTACAAGTGGGTTGGGTTTGGTGGGGCAAGTCTGTGGGAGACCATGGGTATGGTGAGCTCAGTGTTAGCAAGCTATGTGGCAAGTGTTCATGCTGGTTCATGCAGGTATCTGGGTATCTAGGTTTGAGGGTGGGTTGCAGAAATGGTGTCTACCCACTCTTTTGTTCTTGGATAAATCTTCTAAAGATTCTTGTCCCTCAAGTGCAAGTTCTCAGATTAGTAAATAAATCTCCATTCCATATCACCAGGTATTTTTCAGTTTGCTGCTTCTATGGTGTATCTTGCCAGAATTGTTTATTATGCTGTTTTTTTTTAAGGGTGGGGATTCATTTTCCTATCATCCTCCAGCTTTCCCAGAGCTAAGCCTGCTGATTTTTAAAATACCTAAAGTTAAGCCTCACTGATTGTAATAACTCATGAAGTTAAGCTCCACTGGTTTACAAAACCAAGATTTATGTGGACCTGTCTTCCCATTGCAGGTCCTCATGTCTGGGGTGCCTGTTTTGAGGTCTGTTCCTCTTCTTTCTTTGTGTTTGTGGTATCCTTCTCATTTGTGGTTAGTCTCACCAGAAGTTTGGTTTCAAACTGGGTGACTTTCCTACCATTTTTGATGTTGCCTGCTCTCTACAATTAACTGTGGACAGTTTATTCTTCCAGTCTTTGGGTAATTTTCTGGGTTAGTTGCACTGAGGTGGCTGTTATTTAGGTGTCTCCATGGGATGGGGTAAGCTTAGGATCCTCCTACTCTGCAATTTTCCTAAAATTTCCTCCACGTTGTTATTTTAGTATTGGACTGAGGCAATCTAACCCAGGATGTACACACGAAGATGAATAGAATAAGTGAGCTTCTTTTCCTACCTCCAGTACAGTACTTACTAAAAAGGGCCAACAAATTTACATTGCTCTAAAATATAATCTCATCTTTCAAGTTCCTAAAAAATTTTCACTGTTGGAGTTACTAAAGGATTAGTAAAAGTTAGATATTGAGGTATATATTTAATTATCTCAAAAGGCCATTTAAAAGTCAATTAAAAATGAAATATCTTTAGAGTGAAAGCCAGGTGATTTTGAGAACTCCAAATCCCAAAGTTTAGAGTCTGAGATGAGTATACAAAGCCATTTATGTTTATTCTGGAGAACAAAATACAAAACATTGCTTTAACATTTGAAATCTTTTTTTGAGATACAGACCTATATTAGCTGAACAAAATTAAAAAAAGTCAAGTGTATAATGAAAATGAACTTGAATAGCTGATGGGATTTCAAAGAACTGTTATAGACCAAATGTATGTGAAGACTGTGTCATGGTAATGCCACAGGGTATTATATAGTCATTAGAAATTATAAACATTAGAGTCCTTCTAATGTCAATATTCTAGGATAGTATACAATATTCTTAAGATTTTTTTTCCAAATAAAATCATAGGCTTTAGTTCATGGTTCATGTGTTCATGTAAACAAATTAAGACTGTAGGTTATTTAAATGTATTTTGTCAAATAAACAAATAAATCATTGAAAAAACCCTTGCTTCTACTCTTTATTTTGAAGATAGAACATGGTCCAGCAGGATAGCATAGAAAATTAAGGAATTGAGCTCTGGAGTCAGACTACCTAGATTTGAATCTTAGTTCTGATCCTTACTAGCTGCCTGACAATGGACATTTACTTAATTTCTTTGTGCCTTGGTTCCTAAGTCAGCAAAACAGGGATAAGAATGTTATATATATCACAGGGCAATTGTAAGCATTAAATGAGTTGATATATATAAAGCACTTAAAACAGAATAAAAGCTCAATAATTATTAGTTACCATGGTTAAAAGGCATATTTTTCAACCTCAAGGAATTTATAATCCCATAAAATGATGATTCCACTTTGGGAGAAAATACATACACATATTAAAAACAGGAAAATAAGTACTAAACAGTTTCATATAAGATACAAAAATAAATGACATTAAAGAATAACAAATCATGGTTAGATTGTAGGTGATTGAATTATGGTATGTTTCCATGTGGGAGAAAGTGGGACTGCTAGTGGAAGTGAAAACATAGGAAAACACCTAGAGGTGGGAATAAGTAAGACACAAGTTTCTTTTATGTGCATTAGAATTTCACTATGCCTATATTTTGTTCTGATTCTTTCAAAATTTAGAATCCATGTAATAAATATGAATCATTATTTTTAACAAAATCATCTATATACTTTAAAATTATTTAAAAGTAAAGCTTTAACATCTGTATGTTAACATCTGTATGTATGTTATGATCACATTTGAGTTTCAAAAATGCCCTGTAATAAGGCAGGAGTATTATTATTCTTATTTTATAAATGAGGAAGCTGACGATCAGAACTCATGTCACTTGCTTAAAGTTATACCACTTGTAAGTAATAGAGACAAGATTAGCAACCAGGTGTTCTAGCTTCCAATTTAGTGCTCTTCTACCACACTATACTTACTGAATAACAGAAAGCTTAGTACATGATAAATGAGGACTGATTTTTTTGATAAATAGTATGTTTGATCTTTGTCTCAACCAAGGAAAAATGGTATAGGATAAAAGTGTAGATACTGCTAAATCTCAGGTATGTTAAAAATAAAAATAAGTAAGCACCAGTTATTACTATGCCTTAAAAATCCTCTTTATTTCTGTTTTGAGTGTTTTCCTAAAGGGCTGCAACATTAGAAGTGAAATAGAAATAACATACACATGGAAGATTCAGATAGAACTTCTCCTTTCATAACTTTCTTTTTTTCTTCACCATTATCATTTATTTCCTCTGAGGTAATGTGCCTTTTGAAACACAGAATAAAGGAACAGACCACACTTCAGCAAAACCTTGCCATGAATATTATATTTCAGCTATAATCAAGTTGTGTCTTAAGAACAAAGATTCCACTGTAATTTAAAACCCACTGTAAATATATCCTTGATACTCCTGTCAATATGCCAATAAAGAAGTAAAAAGTATAAAACAATAATAAAACATAACTTCTACTCATAAATGTATATCATAGAGCAAAATCTCTGACATAGTTGTATAAATATAAGTACTTCTTAAAACAATTTGTAATATCAACATTCAAATTTTTATTCAGAAACCTATTGGAGCTAGTTTTGATACTAGTAATAAGCATGTAGAAAAAAAGTAGAATCCCTTCTCTCTTCTTTCGATAAATTTTAAATTACTTTTGTTCATATATGGAGGTGCCAGTTGTTTAGTTTCTTAAGGAAGGATTGTATGTCATATAGGGAGAGAATTACCTATAATAATGTCAGTAAGCCACAAAAACTCCACTATTCTCTTTTGAGAGCCTGGGGTTAGGAGCAGAAGAAAACTGGACACAAACTGGTTTTTGACCAGGCTTATATTCTTCAGTTTCCAGATTGCACATTGCATGGGGCCTTTAGGACTATTTGGTTGGATATTACTGTTCTATCACTTGAATATTCTATTTTGGAAAAAAAATGGCCCTACTTTGCCTAGTCAGTCAATATTACAAAGAAAGAGGGTGATGGAACATTTTATGTAGGTCCTCGGTTATTCCAGTTCTCATCTGATGACATGCCTGCAAAGGGATATGTTAGGATGATTGGGGACTAATTGCTAATTTTGTATCTTAAAAAGCTATTTCTTATCCTTTGTAAAGTTTTTATTTGAGGAGAAAAACTTTGATCTCAGATCCATTTTTTTTTTAACAATGCCAAGACAAAAATATTCTTCACCTTTTGGTGAATGATCAAACAAACCACTTATAATTTAGTTAATAGTTGTGGACCGAATTTTTAACACTTAAAATATCTTTACAACCCCTAACAGTGTGGATTCATAAATGAGATATATTTATAGGCACACATTCATTTAAGTATTTGTAAATTATTAATGGAAATTCTTCTTTTTATTACAAATAGTTTGAGATAATACTTGTTTGGGAAACTCTTTTCATTGATTTGCATTAGAAATAGGCTTAAATTATTCTTTACATATTTCTTCTTCTTTCTCTGGCAAAGAGGCCTTTTTCTTGGGTACATAAGTCACACTGGACAAAGAATGCTTTCTAATTGTAGACAGCCTTCTCCTAAAGTTCCCCCCTGAAAAGAAATATAGGAGAGGGTCAAAGCAACAATTTGATGCAGCCAGAGACAAGGTTATGACCACTGACTTTTGCATTCTAAGAACAGAATCACAGGGTTTAGTTTCATTGTGTAAAAAATGAAGGTGGATGGTGCGTTGAATATGATATGGCATGAAGCTGATCAAAAAGGCAGCTGTCACAACTATGATCATTCCTATAGCTTTTTTACGGCTTGACAGATTTTTGTTCATTGAATTTTTCAGTAAGGTTAAAATGATCATTGTGTAACAGACAATTATAATAACAAAAGGAATAATAAATCCGACAAACAATGACACATAATGCAAGACCAAAACATGATTTTTAGCCTGGTTGTCCGGTGGAGGCTCAAAGCACTTGGTATTGTTTTTCTCATCTTTGTAAGATGTGGACATTAAAAATGGAGAACTGGTCAAAATTACAAAAATCCAAATGCCAACACACACAAATTTGGCTTTCTTATGTTTAACCAAATTAATGTTCTGGACTGGGAAAACAATTGCAATGCACCGGAAAAAACTCATGGCTGTCATAAAGAAGATACTACAATAGAGGTTGACATACAAGGCATAGGTGCTGAGGCGGCACAAAAAGTCACCAAAGAGCCAAATGCCTTTGTGAACATAATAGATCACACGGAGAGGCAGTGTACACACGCACAGTAGATCTGCTACTGCTAAATTAATCATGTATACTTGGAAAGCTGACTTCTCATGATATGTTTTTATGAGGACATAGAGCACAAAGCTATTGCCAAAGAAGCCCACGACGGAGATCATAGAGTACAGGGTAGAATACACTTGATTGCGGAAGTCATCAATGGTATCATTGCACGTGTTATTACTGGCAGAAGAAACTGTCAGATTTCCAACTCCATCCATATTTCTCTAGGAATGTCTGCTTGGTGCCTAAAATACATACATATATATATATTTTTTTTTCTTGCCATTTTTTACCAGATAATAAATTATAGGAAGTACTAAGATTTCACTTTGTAGTGTCATTATATATACTTTTTGACCATGGTAGGAAGCACAAGTGGTGGGGAAATGAAGAGATATTCAGCTGCATCTTGCCTCCAAGAGAAGGGTATGGGTCCTACAGGCTCAAAGAAAACTCTTTTTCCCCTCTTTTTTCCATCCAAGTTTGCCTAATGGACTTACTCTTAATCTTCAAGACCTAGCTAAAACATCTCTGCTTTTCTTTAAGTCATATTACTCTAGTACTATTCTGTAAATCTTCCTTTTAATTGAGTTTGTTTCTCTATTAGATAAAATCTTTAAAGATAGTAGTTTCATAAATATAAATTTCATCTATCTTCTATCTACCTATAGTTATATATCTATCATCATCTACCTATTGGAAGAGCATTGAATTCACTTGGAGCATATGATCTAGGTGAAAATGCTTGTTTTCTTCAAGAAAGCTGCCTAGGTAACATCTGCTGGTTGATGCTCATCCAGTTGCTTTAATTAGAGAAAAAAGTTCCAGAGGTAAAACACGTTTCTAAAATCTGCACCATAAGTTAAGGCTCTGAGGAAAGATGTAGCATAACTAGTTGAAATATACTTTCTGGGTAAGGGTATTGTTGTAACTGTTTATCCTTGTTCTCTTCCTAGACTCACTCTCAAAGTCATACTATTCAACAATACATGATCATTTCTCTTTATACCAAGGGGTTGTTACTTGGTCTAATTTAGTTAAGTTATATCAAGACGGTCAATTAAGGCAGTAAACAAGCTTTGATCAGATAGAGCTAGGGATGAGACAATGTAGAAGTAATGATTTCTAGTGTTCCTCCAGATTCTTTTATTCTTTAAGAAAGTGGGAGCACCTCATCAATGTATAATATGGTGGATAATTTTTTACTGAAGTCTTATTTCTTGGACTTTTACACAGTTTCTGCTCCCTAGTAAGAAAGAGTTGGTTGGGGTTTGTAAGGTGCAAAGACTGACTGAATATAAAGAAGTCCCAACAATAGAGGGGACTGATCTTGTCTCTGAATTATAAATACAGAAACAGACAGCTATGGTAGTGGTTGTAGGTGGGATATAACTTCCCGGGTTTACTACTGCTAACAACTTGGCCAGTTCCATTTTTTCTTTGATTAAAAAATTTCATTATTTTTCATCAAGAACTGTTGGTATATGACAAAAACAATGAGGGTGGATATCTAAGATCAAAGAGAAAAACGAGGTGACTATTCCCAACTTCTGGTTTATTTCTCGGGTTTTTTTCCAGCTACCCACCTCTTTCACCATTGGCTCCCTGAACTCAGGTGCAATTATGGGAGAAAGGGAAACCACCTAAGCTTAATCTAGTCTTTTTTTATTAGCCCTATTACTAGGTTTTCCACAAACTGGGCAGTGTTATGCTGAGGCACTAGATGGTGCTGTTGAGATTTTTGATATAACTTTTGTTTTAAGAACTACACTTGAAAGATATTAGATAATTAGCATCTGTCTTTCCTACCACCATCTTTACTCACTACATCATTATTTCCAGAATAATTTCCCTATATTGGAGCTTTCAACTATGTCATGCTCTCTTCTAAAACCTTCAATGGTCACTGAGTGCCTTCAGAATAAAATCCAAACTTCTTGGCCTGATATTTAAGGATCTCTACACTCTAGTTGCAACTGAATTTTCTTAGCTTCTCTTTCACTTTTCTCTTTTACACACCTTATATTTCTTTTTTAAAAAATGTTTATTTATTTATTTTGAGATAGAGCATGAGCGGGGGAGGGGCAGAGAGAGGGAGAGAAATAATCTCAAGCAGGCTCTTTGATGTTAGCCTAGAGCCCTATGCGGGGCTTGATCTCACAGAGAGATCATGGCCTGAGCCAATATCAAGAGTTGGATACTTAATGGACTGAGACACCCAGGCACCCCTACACACACTGTACTTCAATGAAACAAGTATTTTATTATGCTAGGGACATGTGTTACATGTTTTCCCATCTGCTATCTTTTTTCATGGTATTTCTTTTTCCCTAAATGCTTTTTGTTTCATCTATGTATATGCAAAAACTACCCCCCCTTTAGCTCAAATTACACCCTCCTTGACTAAGAATTTCCTTATCCTCCTTCCACAGTAATTTCTATCATATTCTCTTCTGGGGAACTTTAAATTTATCTTTCAGATCAGCAATTTGTACATATTTGTTGTCTTCCCTTACAGACTATCTTGTTGATATATAAGAAAGCATGTCACACAGGGCTAATACATATGTACCTTGACCATAAGTGCTCAATAAATTTTGGTTGAATGAATGAATACATGAATGGTGAACAAGTTTGTTATCTGAAAGTTTTTTTTTAAGTTTATTTACTTATTTTAAGAGAGAGAATGAGCAGGGGATGGGCAGAGAGAGAGGGGGAATCCCAAGTAGGCTCTACACTGTCAGAGTGGAGCTTGATGCAGGGCTCAAAACCCATGAACCTTGAGATCATGACCTAAGTCAAAACCAAGAGTTGGACACTTAACTGACTGAGCCACCCAGGCGCCCCTTAAAGTATTATTTATAATTTAAAACCACTTAGAGTTATCTTTGCATTCCAATATCATTTAAAATTATTCCACCCTCAGAGCCTAAAGCAAAGTTGCTTCCTAAAGTATTAAGGAAAGCACTAAATAATAAAGCTAACTGTAAGATTAAAAAACATTCATATCTTGACACAGACCACCCATTTATTTTTCTGTTAAATATTAGAAATTTGAAATTCCCAGATCTTTGAATAAAAGATGCCAAATAAAACTGATAAATAAATTAATGAAAAACAGATGGTCATTTGTCCCATTAATAAACTTTACAGTCCTTACAGACCAACTTAAGTTTTCCTAGTAATGTTTGTATTTAGTTTCAATTGTTTATTTATAATTAAGTCACATCCATGACTTATATTAGATTATAAAAAGAAAATTATAAAACTTTCAAACAAGTAATGAATCCTGGAGGGGTAGAGATCACTTAGTCTAAGGCACTCATTTAACAAATGATGGCTTTGCTTATCTTAAACAACATTTAATTCATTTTTATATAACTTACTATGTATGATCCTCCAATAATGAGATCTATGCTGTAAGGATACATAGATACCTAAGATCCCATCCATGCCTTCAAGCCGCTCATAATCTGTTCATGGAGAGGAGTGATGACTGAGAAGTATGGAGAGGTTACAACACAGTATGATAAGAACTAACTTAGAACAAAGCAAATGGGCTATTAATTGGTTAATATAAACAAGCAATAAACATACATAAAATTAATTTTTGGTGCAGATGACAAAAAAGGTTACTTTGTTAAGATAATTTGCAAGTTGAAGAAACAAGATTGATTTAGAAAATGGAGCCATACCTCTTTCTGACACTGCAGTGCCTTTCACAAATGTTCCTAGTTAGTGGTCAGTGCTTCTTATAATGTAATTTCAGATGAAGCCTAAGCTGAAATCATAAGATTGAAAAAAAAGTTAATGACATTAGAAGTATTCTGGAAGGGTCATGGGAGCTTAGTGGCCTTAAGTACAGATACAGAGTGTGTCATGGGACATCACAGCTTTAGGACAGATTTAGGGCTAGTTATTGGATTCCATGCTTCCTTCTTTTCCTTCCATTCATTTTTACATCCCCAGGGGAGAAACTTGGAATACAGGCCAGGGCTGATCACAGATATTTGTTTCTGTGTGCAGGAAGCTTCCATATCTAAAGATGAACACAGTATCATAAAAATACTCCTCTCTCTATGAAACCATGATATTTTCCCTATTTTCTTTTCTAAACCATTTGGTATTAAGTTCAAAGGGGAAATAATTTGGAAGTTCATATCTGAAGATATAGTTTGCTAGAAAGAAGACTTAGAACTTCAGATATATCTGTCTGGAATGGTTTAGGGACAATTTTCCTTTAAGGAATAATAGATTAGAGGACCTTGGACTCTTCTCCCTAAAAATCTCATAATAGTAGTTATTGTTTATATCACTAATTTGGCATATATTATATACCTGCAGAAACCAACTGTTTTGTAGTTTGTACAGTTAACTTTTCATGAGTATATGCTTCTTCTCTTCAATTAAACCATATCAGAAAATCTAACAAAGTATAACAAATCTCCAAGAAATGAACAAAGAAGGGTTTTCATGAAACATTAGCAACCTGGACACTCACCCCCCTAAATTTGTATTCCCCTATGGCAATTTTCATCCCTGTCTGCAAGGACTACGGAGACTGGCCACTTTTTTATTTATCTATGGTCTAAGTACCAACAAAATAAACACCTTCCTCCAGTTTATTCTTAGCAAGTATAAACACACTGGGCCTTTGTAAAGAACTCTGCTGAAAAAAAAAGGAAATCACAAGGAAAATAGAGGAAATTCAGAAATATAAAATATAGATATATTTAAAAGTAGGAATCTCAACCTATAGCTATAATATTGTGTATTGAATCCACCCTGTATTCAGATAATCATTTTAAGATGTTCTCCAACTTTTTTTCCCTTTCTGAATTTCCCTCCTTCTCCAGGTAAGGAGTTGACATAGGTAATGTACTACTAGCAGTCTGGATGAAGTATGGACTGAAGGTGGGGAATTAGTCAAATTAGTCAAACTGTGTTGGCTTTTATTCAGTAAACTTTTTTTTGCTTAGCTTGTCCTAGGTCTCTGTAATCAATAAACGTATACTGACAGAATATCGAATGAAAAAAGTCTCTGAACCTTAAATTATATAATTCCATTCATTTATAGAGAAAATTAACTTTGGCTCTGTCACAATTTTGTATTTAGATAAAACATATTTTTTCCTAGTGTGTAAAGAGAAAAAAAAGTTTATGAATTTCCAACACCTATCTGTGAGAAGTATAATATTGCCAGGCTAATGTACTAGTTATCCATTTCCATGGTAGCTGTGCAATTATAACTTAATTCACACTACATGTACAAATAAGTAAATGTCACATTGTCTGGGCAACAGTGTAGTGTTTCCTCAAGTTTGGGATTCTGAGGTGTCTTCTATTATTTCCTAAGAAATTCTGAGCTTTGCACATAGTGGGCATTCAATACTTTGACTCCTTACCTTTCTTTCTTTCTTTTTTTTTTTTTCAGTTTCCTAGAGGATTCTTGTCTCTGACAGCAGCTTCTGCCAAAATTAGATTCTACCATTCTTATCTGGGTGATTGGGTGGGTAGACGTCAGACAAAAAAGTAAGAGTATGAGTATGTGATTTTTTAATTTTAATTATTTAATTCAGGAGTTGCTCAGATCTTTTATTTGGGTCATTTGAAGTCCATGAACGTGTGTGTGTGTGTGTGTGTGTGTGTGTGTGTGTGTAAATTTCTTTCCTTCAGCCCTTAACTTCCATTGAACCTGTAACATGGTCAAGCTCCAGTGAATGAGGGAAATAAGAGATACAGAGATAATCTGAGAATACAAGGTCCTAATTCATGTACCATAGTCTTTATTGTTGCTGCATTAGAACTACCTACAAACAAGAATGACTTATACACTTTGTGTTCTCTAAGCGTGGTCTAGGTAGAGCTGATGATCTACAAGTGTCCCTAGGCTTGTGTCCTCTATCAATGAAGATAGTAATAGTGATCCTTTCTCATTTATAATAAAAAAAAGTCATTCCTGTTCTTCTCAATCTAATTTAGTATCTTTCTCCATTAAAGTTCTGCAGTATTTTGTTTTTACTGTTCTTGATCATTTTCATTTCTTGTTTTGTGTCATAGTCATCTCCTGGTTTTTCAATTTAAACTTCTTCATAATTCCCACCCCAGTTCCACTAGAATTAAATAACAAAAAACAAGTCTTATTCTTTTTGTATTTCATGCTATGTACAGTTCAATGTTTTTTAAATATTGGGTGATTTGAATTAATTTTTATTTTATTTTATTTTATTTATTTTTTTATTAATTTGCATTTTATTTAATTAATTATTTATTTATTTACTTTTATTTATATATGAAATTTATTGTCAAATTGGTTTCCATACAACACCCAGTGCTCATCCCAAAAGGTGCCCTCCTCAATACCCATCACCCACCCTCTCCTCCCTCCCACCCCCCATCAACCCTTAGTTTGTTCTCAGTTCTCAACAGTCTCTTATGCTTTGGCTCTCTCCCACTCTAACCTCTTTTTTTTTTTTCCTTCCCCTCCCCCATGGGTTCCTGTTAAGTTTCTCAGGATCCACATAAGAGTGAAACCATATGGTATCTGTCTTTCTCTGTATGGCTTATTTCACTTAGCATCACACTCTCTAGTTCCATCCACGTTGCTACAAAAGGCCATATTTCATTTTTTCTCATTGCCACGTAGTATTCCATAGTGTATATGAACCACAATTTCTTTATCCATTCATCAGTTGATGGACATTTAGGCTCTTTCCATAATGTGGCTATTGTTGAGAGTGCTGCTATGAACATTGGGGTACAAGTGCCCCTATGCATCAGTACTCCTGTGTCCCTTGGATAAATTCCTAGCAGTGCTATTGCT